AAAAAAAAAAAAAAAAAAAAAAAAAAAAAAAAAAAAAAAAAAAAAAAAAAAAAAAAAAAAAAGTCAAATTTACATTTCAAATTTACATTTCATTTTTCAATGTCAAAATTTAATCCCCAAGTTAAATTTTGAGGGGGCGTGTTGGCGAAAAGCGTCAGCTGTTTTGTAAAGTTTTGATTCCTCCAGTTTTTCATTTCTCAGTTTCAGTTCGGTATGATACCTTGCCCATAAAGGTGATCTAAAAGCGTCCTCCGAGTGTTATTTCTTTCCATACCACCTTTAGCTTTTACCTTTAGCCTTTACAAGCTGCTTTTCTGGTTGTTAGAAACCTCAATCGTAAATAGTTTTTTACAATACAACATGCATTTGCAAGATTCAGGCAAGAGTAAAATCAAGCACTGTGATTTTAGGATGAAACTAATCGATGATCTTGTCGGAGACATTTGGAACACCACCAGACTAAAAGTTGAGAGACCAACCAGCAGAGATAGAGAGGAGAGACTAGATGGCAAACCTCATTTTTTGGCAGCAAACCCATCAAAAAATACCAAGGACTGTGCAGTTTGTACGGACCAAAAAATTCATCATGGTCGCAAAGAAACGATTAATTTTTGCAAAACTTGCATGCGCAGGTCTGGATTGTATCCAGGAAAATGTTTTGAGAGATACCACACTTTGAACAAATATGAGACAACTTAATAGTATGTTTCAGCTGTATAAAAATTCAAAATTGTGTTGAAATACAAAAAACTATACCGAAAAGCAATAAACTTGATTTTTCCTATAATCTAGTCTTATTTGGCATTAAAAACTCCATCGGGAGGGGGGGGGGGGGCACAACAGTGCAAAAAATTCTGACCGGAAAGGGTTAATACAACTATCCAGAGACAGAAATCATATCAGGGTAAATATAAAGAAAACAGATTATTTCATTGGAAGTGAAATGGAGTTTTGCCATGAATAAAAGGTACTATGCAGCCTAATAAGTATTCTTCACGCTCACAATACAGACTTCCTTCCTATAGATAAACGAAAACATGTCAAGAAAATCACTGGGATATTCTTTTTTTTTTTTTTTTCAGGCAGGGGAGATCACGAAACAGAGATCAATGATGCATTTATCTACATGCTATCGCATGACAATATGCCATTTCCTGCCATTTTTTGGAATATTCCAGGTCGCGGCAAAATGGTGAGGATGTTGGATTCAAAATATCAAGTCTTCAAGATGGAAGCACAGAAACGCCTAAAAAATGCAGAAACTATATGCTTGACAAGTGACATCTGGAAGGACAAACAGAATAACCGCCATTTCCTCTCAGTCACCGCACATTATATAGAGGGATATCAATTAAAAAAGGTCATTTTGGATGTAAAACATATGAAGACAGGCATAAGGAGATAATTAGAAAGAACACATTAAGAATGCTTTGGCAGATTGGGAAATTTCACAAACTCATGATGGTGGGAGTAACATGGTCAATGCTGCAACGCAACTTATGGGCCAGTCATACGGGCACTTGTGTGGCGCCGCATACAGGTTAGATCTAGTTAAAAAAGCAGCCCTTGAAAGTAGCGAGTTTATTCAGGGTGCTATTAAAAAGATTGAAGTTCAAATTGAATGGTTTAGACTTGTGGTTGGAAGTGGGACTGCCGAAGATGATCTAAGAGCAGCTCAAAGGGAGAAAGTCTTGAAACTTCAGTAACAGCATGGTCAACAGGATGCTGAAAATTCCGTTGTCAGAGACGGATAGAAATGAGGAATTACAGAAAATCCTTGGAATTCCCGAAGTGAACGGATATGTAGAGGAACAAATTTTAAAGCTTGTGAAGAAGGTGAGTTACATGAGTCGGGTGCAGCAGATCACAACGTTGGAGAGGATTGAAGAAGTTAAGCCTTTCGTACCATTGACATTCCATCCAAAACTTTTCCAGAAGTTCAGGAAAATTTACAAGAAATTCAATTTAGATGTGGTACTGGTTAATAAGTTTAACATCAAATCATTCTATAATGGAGATCTTACGGATAAAAATCCTAATTTGAAGAAATCAGGCATTTACCAAATGGAATGTCAAGATTGTGACAAAGTTTGTGTTGGTTTGACAAAGAGAAATATCATCACTAGATCCAAGGAACATCTTAGAAACATAAATAATGAAGAAGTTGACAAATCATCAGTCGCAAAACATTGATGTGAAGAGTCCCATAGGATCAAGGAAGAACCTGTGCTTTTAAAAGAAGTTATTCGTCCAATTGATTTACCAATGCTAGAGAAAATTTTCATTTTCAAGAGGAGAGCTAGGTTGATGAATGAAGATCTTGAAGGGCTGGACGACCCACTACTCTCTGTTCTAGTTCCGGAATCTGACTCAGGGTGCGCTGCGAGTGCCTCAGTCGTCACCCGCTGAAGATGCGAATTTGTTCTTATTGTTGAAATCAGGTAATTTGAAAGTTAGAGTTTTTGATACGACTCATTTTTTGTTAATTTGTTTGCTACTTTTGTAGTAGCCATTTTCATGAAATAATAGTGGAGATAATTGGTGTTTTTGCTGAACAAAATACAAAATTAGTAAAAACTTGCAACGTCGCTTATGAGGATTGGAAAATCTGCCCAATTTAGGGGCCAATTTGCAGCAGGACAAAAATTTAAAAAATATCGATTTTTTTCGATAATTGTGAATATCGATATTTCTGACCTCGACAAATATTGGGATCGATTTCTTTAAAAAAAAATATATAATTTCAGATATCAAAATCGACCGTAAACATCGACAACACTAAGCATAGTATGAAACAGACAAGTTCCATGGGTTTTCTCACCTATTTTAAAGGTATCCATCAATTTGTTATCATCCTAATTTGCTTTATAAAGTCTAATATATGATTACCAATGATTTTATAAAAAACAGAGGATCGGTTCAATACAATTGTCTTAAAGAAAAATCTACTTCATGAAAACTTTGGTTTATCACACACCTATTGGTCTGTATAGCATTACACCGGTAAGTTAATTGGCATTTGTAGTCATAACTATAATTAAGTGCAAAAGATATTCAAATAAATATCCAATATACCACCTTGCATTAATATTCTATTTGACAGGGCCCAAGATGATGTAGAACCAGAACAACAAAATCAATCAGTTTTGCTGGCTAAATATGTTTCAGGAGTCGTAAAGCAACTGACGCACAAACAGATTCATCATTTATCGCTGTCTTGAATTCACTGCAACACAGAACAGATAGGTAATTAATACAACAACATTTGAATATACATATGATGCATATTGATGGCCTAAGTGCGAAACCACATATCTCCGTTTGCAATGTTGCAGAATTCCGTCAGATTCTATCGTTTCCTTAGAAAACTAGTCAACCTATTTTCTTGAGAGCCTCCTTGATTTTTCTTCTTTGTTAGCAAAATATGCTGTAAAAATTTTGAACTATTAAGTTAATCTTTTTCTCTAAGAAAAAATAAAATAGAAGCGGAAATTTTTGAAACACTTCAAAAAAGATTAAAAGATACTTTGTTTCTCAATTCTAATGAGTAGTATCTTTGTATTTAGATATGCTGCAGAAAAAATGGAATAGGTACAAAGTTTCATCATGATCCTCCATTAAATAAATACATCATGCTGTGAGTCATTTCTTATAAAAATTGTGGAGAAAGTTACACAAGGTATCCTTAGAGTGATCAAAAATTGTAGAGGAGATTAAAACTATAAGTAATCGGAGAATAAGGAGGAAAACCTTTGGCAAAAATCCAAATTTTCAAAGGTCATAGTTTGAAAACAATCCTCATTTAGCCAAGAGTAAATTTATTATACATATGTTTTTTTATATGTACTGGTAACTCTTGATTTAATTCTTAGGGCATATTACTCCCAAAAACAAGAAATTTGGTGCAAATAATTTCAATATGCAGAGCCATATTTTTCCATAGGATTGGTATTTGAACACAGATCAGCAGCAGAAAGAGATTAATAATGCAGGCGAGACACCAGAGATTCCGTCTTAGAGTTCAAGAAGGCAATCTGCTGTGCCAAGGAAAAACGCTGTAAGAGCATACCAACATTGCCAAATTTCCTGTTGGTTTATATTTTTTTTGAAGGGATGTGTGAATACTTTTCCTTGAAATTTTCAGACTATTTGGATCAAATTAACAAAATTATCCGAAAAATTAGAGGAAAACTAGTTACATTAGCGAAAATACTTTATTGGCCGAAGGAAATTTAGCAACGCCTGAAGGCTCATACGACGTTCTTCCTTGGCATGGCAGCAATGATCAAGTAATAATCGTGAGAGAACAGTTTCAATAACACTTGTGGTGGTGCACTTCTCCACCTAGTTATAGTCTCAGCTTTGGTTCATGAGTAGTTGACTATACTTCCTCAGCTTCTCATGGGCAAATTACTATGACCTGGCTTTAAAAACGTCTCACTTTCCTTCATGAATAAATGTTTTGCATCGCTAGAAAAACCTATTCCTGTGTTATCATAAATAGAAATTTTTTTTACTGATCTGTTAAAGAATTCATATGTTTTGTTCCTCTTAAGTCAAAGAAGGAAGAGGACAAATCTTAGCAGAGCTGCTTGCATTCTTTCAGAGAACATATTTACAATATCGATTAAGTTTTGTTACTGTTACTAAATCAAATGCATTCCGCACTGAAATTCACCTTTGGTTGCGCAATCTGATAACAAGCAGGACAAGTGGAACATACTTAAACTTTAAACATGTTTCTCCGCCACTTCCTTTCTGCTAATGTTCTTTTGGTTCGGCAATCGGCAACGTATTCAATTGTGGAGATTTATTCGCAGAGAGGTCACCAATAATGAAGTTCTTGCATGTGTCAGGGATTTGTGTTTTAAGTATTTGTTATTACGTAAAATTGCACAGGAAACATGATGATGCAACTGGTTTTCTCTAAGATCAATTCCAAAGCTCAAAAAAAGTACTCAAAGTTAAGGCCATCGTAGAGAGGATCTCCCCCTCTATCCAGATAATCTACCTCTGAATCAAATCAAACTCTCCATGCAAAGATATGGAGAAAATATATTGATTAGTTTGTCACTTTGTTTGAGGACTCCAAAGCTGAAAACATGGCGGATAACTTTGCATGGAGAGATTGACTACATATAGAGGTGGGCTCTCATTAAGGCATGGGATATCCCCTCCATTACAGTCGCAACTTAAAGCGCTTTTTTTGAGCTTGGGAGTTGATTTCAGGAAAACCAGCGGCATTATCAGGCTCCTTGCAAAATTTTACATAAAAGGCAGCACTTAAAAGGCAAATCCCTGACACATACAGAAACTCCATTGTGAAGACTCTTTAGTACAAGGGTCATCGGAGGCTTAAGGAATTATAATTTTGTAGATATGGTGTTATGGTCCTAGATAATTCTGATAAAAAAAACGGATTCTACACTCCTGAGATAAATCCTTGCTACTTGGAGGCATACATTTATTTTCCCGAAAAGGTTTCTTCAGCAATAAATTGCAAATTTAATCCTTTCTGCATATGATTTTTACATTATTGCTTTAATATTTCTCTCGAGTAACTCTCCTTCTGCAGCACCAAGTCAATATAGTAAACTAAATGTACAAACTAAATGATTTTGAGCGGAGAGAAAAAGATTTTCCTGTTTCCAATAGCAGCGCCCTGATTTTCTCGGACATTTTCTGATGTTTAATGAGTTCTGGTACCTACTTCCCATTTTTTCCAGATCTTGAACATGCAGACATATGCTGTCGTGCTAAGGAAAAACACTGTATGAACCTTTGTCAGTTGCCAAATTTCCTTTGATCAAATACAAATTTTTATGGAAATTTGTGAATAACTTTTGTTCAATGTTTCAAAGAATTTTCTTTATAAATAGATCTATATCATCTGAAAATTTTAAGAGAAAAAATTCAAGACTCTGCTAAAAAAAAAAAAATAAACGTTTTATTGCAGGAAATTTGGCATCTCTCAAAAGTTCATACAGCAATTTTCTTCATCAAGGCAGTATGGCTTTGCGTTTCATTCCTGGCCTTTGCTGAATAGGATCTCTAAGCTTGCCCTATACTGCCTTGCTAAAGAAAAACCCCCTAAAAGCCTTTAGGCGTAGCCAAATTTTGTTTGAGTACAAATTTACTGGGAAGGTTGTGAATACAATTCTTCAAATTGACAGAAAATTTTGTTCACACTTTAATCTAAAATATCTGAGAATATCAAGGAAAACTATGCTTAACTTTCATCAAAAATAAGCATTTTATCGGAGGCAACTTAGCGACTCGGATGTTCATATGGCATTTTTCCTTGACACAGCAGCATACCAACAACACCAATAAAGAGTGTCAATTTCAAATAACATATCTCATACATATGGCACCCCTTCCCCTACATTGAGTCAAGTCTCGAAGTGCTTGCATGTTCACCCAGCCTGGTAGTTTGTTGGGAGTTTCTTCTCATCAGAATGAAAGCTGAACAAGAATAGGATTATGACTGAGGACAATGAGCTTACTCTCTGCATCTTATTTGTATTGTGAATGGAAGAGGTGGCAGAATATCCCATCAGCTGTAATGTCTCCAATGATGTAGCTTGCTCATAGTAGTTCCAGGATAAGCCCACTTGCTTCATTCCAGCTTGTTTAGTTTCATCTCATCTATTCCAACAGACAAATTGAAAGCTTAATAATTGCAAGGGTGATCATATTTTATTTATTGATTAGGTAGTAACATCACATTTATTGACGTTTAAATTATTCAGCTTCTCAAATTAACAAGCTTCGACCAATCCAGCGATCAATGTATGTGTTCATAGAAAGTCACTAGCCTTAATGTTTTCTATTGTCCGCATTAGCGTGGCCGTGATAAGTATCTTTTGAGGGTTGAGCTGGCACAATCGCCATTTATGGATTTTTCTCTTAAATTCTTTGCTTTATTAATTGCTAAGAATTACAGTGCCTGAGATGAGCGAGATACACTAGAAGCACTGATCATATGGTTACAATTATCATTAGTTATTTGAATTTACCTAAATGTTCTTAAATAAATCAATATTAGGACATAAAGTAGAAAAATTTTTATTTTAATTTGAGTCCTCAAAGGTCCTTTAAATCTCATGATGACAAAAATCAGCCGAGTTTTTTTGCTTTATCAATGTGATAAATAGCACGTCAGAATAGTTTTGTTTGAATGCCAAAGGTTAATGGGGAGGGTTATTTAACACAATTAGTCAACACTATCATAACAAGTGTTTGCCAAAATCTTGGACTTAGTGACCGGCAGAGGCTGGCGAGTGCATCAACGAGCACGCGACGGCATTTTTTTAAAAGGGCAACAATTTATTTCACTGGAAGGATGTTAGAAAAATATTTAGGCTATGTTTCTTCCAATTATTCTTTGAAATTTTGTTCCAGTCATCATCATTGGAAAAATTCCACATGGCGATCACTTGAATGAAACTACATACCAAAACATGCTCCACTGAAACCCAAACTGAAAAATGCTACTAGTTTTAGTCATTGCTGCTTCATCTACAAACTTCATTAGCCGGATTATGAAGGAATCAAAACACTCAATGTGTTGAGATCAGGGCCGGATTAGCCAGGGTGCTCCCAGGCACCTAACCTTACAGGCCCCCATGGGCGACTTATTTTCTTTTTCTTTTTACCACTTTTTTTTTCTTTCATTGCTACCAAGTATTTGTTAAGAAGTTCACTAAGTATTATACTTAAAGAAGAAGATTTGAGATGCCCTTAGGGTAATTTGTCAAGCTCAAGTGACGTGGTCGAACTGGCATGCCATATATAGCATTGATTAGGTCAAAAATCTTGGCAGATGTTGAATTTTCAGCAAAAAAAAGGACGACAGCCCCTGCATTAGAGCCAAATTCAAACCCAAAAATCATTCTAAACCCAAAAATTGGCAAAATTCAGAGATATAAAAGCAGAAAAGTGTTTGGAAAAAAACCTGGCATTCGATTCAGCTATCGATTTCTGTATCGAATGCAAGGTTTTTTTTTCCAAACACTATTCTGCTTTCATTTCTCTGAATTTTGCCAATTTTTGGGTTTAGAATGATCTTTTAGGCTCATGCGCAGGGGCTATCATCCTTTTTCTTGCTAAAAATTCAAAATCTACCTACATTTTTTACCTAATCAATGCAAAAAATAGCATGCCAGTTCAACCATGTCACTTGAGCTTGACGAATCACCTTAGTACATAATTAATTAGACAGCTTTAGTCAAAATCGATATCAGCATATAATATCGCCAAAAAAACTCTGCTTATCTCTGATTACAACATTGCCAAGGTTTCCATAATTTCTTCATTTCCCCATTCCTTGACTTTCCCCTACCATTTTCTGCTTTTCCCTGACTCCAAAATTTTTGAATTCTCTGACCTATAAACGAAACTTCCAAAGAAATTTTGTTCTTTCCACTTATGTACATAAGCTGACTCCTGCTGTATGCTGATTGCAACATTCCCTGACTATTCCAAGTTACTGTATATTCCCTGACTTACAGAGTTTTCTAAGCTGTGAGAAATCCTGTTAATGCAACAAAAGGGAAAGAAATTGCTATTTTTTCTTGCATTGCAAATCGCCTACCTTTCCGATAAAGGAAACTCGTCCTATGGAGCGGAATTTATGGACCAAATTGTGTACAAGTCATTGCTCCTCTGGCTTAAGGGAATATCTCAGTTCCCACTTGAGCACTGATCTGTCGTGCTAGGGAAGAACGATAACCTTCAGGCGGTGCCAAGTTCCCTTTGATAAAATAGGGATTTATCGGGAAAGTTATGAATACTTTCTTTCCAATGGACCACTAGACAAGGTACGAATTTAAGCAATCTGATACATGCTCCTTAACCAAAATATCACGTAGAACACGATTCGCACAAAGAAAAGTAATGAAACAAACTCCTAACGAAGATATTTACGTTTTTATTTCACACTGGTTACGAGGAATTTGAACTGCCCGCTCACAAGAAACTCAAAGCTCTACGCGAGTCAGATCGCGCACTACAGCGATTTCAGCAAGCTTCTCAGTCGAGCAATGTTCATTTCCCACCATGTGTTGTTCCAAATATAAGCAATTTGCTATATCTAAGCCAAAGCGTCAAACTGAGGTTGCCAGATTTTTATATCGCAGAAAATGTCATGATAATGTTAAACGCGTGATGTAAATCACGTAGAGCATTGAGTTTTAATGAGCGGGTGGTTTGAATTCACGCTTCAGGAATCATTAAGTATCTTTGTTAGGAGTTGATTCCGGTAATTTTTGTTGTGCGCATCGTGTTCTACATGAAATTTTGGTTAAGAAACATGTGTCAGAATGCTGAAATTCGTACCTTGTCTAGTGGTCCATTTTTCAGAAAGTATTGCTCGCAGTTTAATCTAAAATATCTGAAAATTTCAAGGACAAATTTGTATAACTTCCTTCGAGAATAAACATTTTAGCAGTGGAAATTTGGCAACTCTCGAATGTTCATACGGCGTTCTTCCTTAGCACACCAGTGATCTCTGTGTAATGCTGTGCCCTCTGGAGCTCATGGGGGGACAGAGGTTCAAAGGAAAGGGGTCAAAAATTAAAAAACTCAACTGTGCCGCAATAACTTCAATTTTGTGCTGAAGCGTTTTGAGGCTGTCGCAGCTTTCTCCTCAGTATCACTGAGGGTGCTACTGAGAGGAGGCTGCGACAGCCTCGAAACGCATCTGACAAAAATTTGAAGCTATCGAGGTACAGTTGAGATTTTTAATTTTTGACCCCTTTCTTTTAAATCTTACCTCAATGTTTATTAGTCTCCGTTGCACAGCTTTAAAAATAGAAATTCTCCTTTCCGCCAGTTGAGCAAAAAAATATGGTAAAACATCGCAATTTCAGGTCACTACATCAAAACTTCACTACAATATTTTTGTAGCCTGTAGGTGCTACTTGGGTAGTAGCAATAGCCACGGCTAAAATAGGCATTATTCTCACTTTTTTCATGAGAGACTATAAAAACAAAGACTGAAAGAAAATTGAAAAATATAGCAATTAATGAAAATATATATGAATGAAAATAAAAAATTTTTAGCGCTGAAACAAACTTGTTAAAATTAATACAAATGTAAAAGGTAATTATATAAAATTGTATGTTCATAAAATTTATTTTTAAAACTACAATCAAGACTTGGGCTGCAGTCTGTAAAAACTACTCTCTCTTTCCTTGAAAGGTTATTTTCCTGCATTTTCAGGTTTATTTTGAGTGAACAGTGGATTGGGTTTTCAAACACCACTTTCGGATTGCTGAGACTACTTATTTCACTAGGTCACAGAAAGTTGAACTGACCTAAGGAAAAATTAATAGAACGAAGAGATCGCAAACACACACCGTAGCATTTACTGATGCGAAGGTTTGATTAAAAGAGAGGCGACTGTGAGGGTGAACTGTGGACACTGGACCCTCTCTTAGCGAGCATTTGAACTATCAAGTCGATTTCAACATAAAATAAATCAACTAAAACAATAATTCTTGAGTCCTGCAGGCTGAGAATCATTTAAAAAAAATTATTGAAGATATATTATCCAACTTGAGGGTAATGGAAGTAAACTTACATGTTGCCTCCGATTTTATCTCATCAGACGTTCTTGAGCCTTTGTGTGAAGAAACCAAGATCGAAGTAGCAAACAAGGTTACGTAATAACTAGAATCAGTCTTCAGTTATCTTCAGTTCTCCTTCGGCCGTTCAAAGTATTTTTCATCCTGCTTTTCACAATTCACATACTCCACAACACCTAAAAAATAAGGCATGCATGAGACTAATGAGGTCTAAGAAAAATTTCAATGAAAAAAAAAAAAAAAAAAAAAAATTGTTCTGTGAATAATTACTGAACACAATAACTTAAAAGAGTTGAGACGAAAGATGCCAGAAGGGCAAGTTCAAAAAGTCTTGAGCCTGGTATCGTTTAAAATGTTGTAATTGGATATTTTAAAATACAAACAAGACAGAGGTCCGAAACCTGCTTCCGAAGGAAAGAAAGAAAAATATGTCATCATCAGAAATTTGAAAAATTCAGGAAAAAAAAGGGTTTTCAAACTTAGAAGGCCAATTAAGAAAAGGGACAACAGAATTTCCTGAATCCTCCTCAGTTTTTATTAATGTGACTCGTAAACACCAGAAGATGATTTTAGTGCAATAAGACAGCTTAGAGTATGTTTCACCAAGTAATGTATTGCCTTTCACAGAAAGGAACCAACGTGATTACAGTAGTTTCAAAACTGCATATTCTTCTTTACCTCAAAAAATACTAAATCCATGTAAAGTCATAACACTTGCAAAATTTTTTTCCTTTAAAGTTAAACATTTTTTTATGAATAAACAAAAACTATTCTTCCCAAGTAATTTTTTACGTGCAGCTGAAAATAAAATGGTGTAGTGCTCTTCTCGCGAAGCGTTGCATGTTTTGTGAACATTATGAAGAGAGTTAAAAAATGATTAGTTCTTGCAGAAATTTGTATGTATTATGAAATTCAAGTAACACAAATAGGTATCTTTATCAGTGAGTCATTGAGACTTGTTCAACTCAGTCTTTAATCGCATACTACATCTTCATAATGGGTCTTTTTGGCAATTTGTCTTTTTTTACCAATTAGATTTGCTGTCATAAAACATTTTTTTCTTTTACTTCAAGTATTATTCTTTTTTATTATAATAATTTTCTACCAAAGTCTTTTTATTTACTTTGGAGGTATGACAGATGAAGTAAATATACCTCTTAGACTAAATAGTCATGTATGAATTTTGGCAAATAAAGATAATACATATATAATTTAAAAAAAAAAATAGGTGTACTTAAAACCCAAATTACCTTTAACAGTATCGTTGCAAGCAGATATTTAGACTGAAGAAAATCTAGGAAGAACTTCTGTGAAGTACTTAATGTAGTTATGGGCTGACAAGTCTACTGTTGCAATAGTTTGAAATTTCCTGAAAAACAAAAAATTCTATGGATAAAAAAGGGTACTCCCACAAAAATGTGTAATTTCAAGTTTCAGAGCGTAATCTTTTATTCCACATTCTCAAGTGTAAGTTACGCTGTGTCGGTTACATACCGACACAGTTTGGCAGTGCCGCCATGTTTGTGTGAACATCCAGCAGTCCTGCAGGAAGACCTGCTTTAATGGCTTGGTTGCCAATCACTTTAACTTTGTACTGAATCAAAATAGCTTGAGCCAAAGCTGGGAAAAGGAAATATAATTTGCTTTAAAATGAAGTAATGCAATTCATTTAAAATTGGTGCACTTTTCTTTTTGCGGTGTTGAAAATTTTTACTATTTCTGCTATTGTGAAATCACCCATGTGTATAATACAATGTTTTAAAATTTATGTTCCTATTTAACGCTTTCAAACATGGAAGCAAACTGCATAGCTTAAAGTTTCTGCGAAAATCATCTTCAGATGAGAAGAATAAGTTGTCACAGAAATTTTGTTGGAACTACATTCAGCTTATTTGATTAAAAAAATTAAAAAAGACATGCATGACAGCTGCACTTCGATGATCCAGTATCAAGCAACGATATCACAATGCGAAGATGTATGATTTTCTTGATTATGTATGAAAACTAAAAGAGACAGCTACCAAATTACCTACCAGGAATTCTTTAGGGAATTCCATTGAGACAAGACAATTGCTGAATGTTGTCTACAAAGATGGAGAGGCCGAAACTACGTTCCTGTGACATAATGCTAGTGGATGAAACTCAGTTGCAATTTAACATGTGTTCTTATGATAGAACATATTTCTTTTGTGCTGATATCTCAACAGAGGTTAATCTTATGCAAGAATTCATAAAAACCTGTTTGAAGGAGGATGAAATTTCACTTCAGACACTATCAACCTAGTCCGTGTATGACACTGTCTGATAATTGAAGAAATAAAAGCTGGAAACCGAAAGTTATTACTCCACAAGAGATGAAACGCACCACTCATGCAGCTTTGGCCAATCTGGGGCTGCTCTGATTCGTTACCACTGCGACTACTTGACTAGTTAGATATAATAAAACTGAGTAGCTAGGACCTCTTCATTCTCGTAGGCAACGTTCTGACATGTCAACTTCATAGTATGAGCAATTTTTTAGGTATAGTAAATAAAAGGATAAGCTTAATAAGGATCAAGCTGTAGGAACTGAATTCATTATTGGGATTTGTTAAGTAATTCCAATTTTTGAGAAAATCAAAGCACAGAAAGGACACTCTTCAGTTGCAGTGTTTAAGAATCTTTACCAATTTTTCATCCATTCTGATCGAGCAAATGTATGGAATTCGCTGAAACTCCTACTGATTATTCTTCACGATTTTGAAAAGTTCCAGAAAAGTCACTCAGTAATTTCCTCTCTGAAAGCATGAAACTTTCCTTAGGGTAATAGTTCAAAAAAGTAATTATAATTTGGCAAGCGAGAATTTATCATTGTATAATCAAATGAGATCTAAACCTATGGCATATATCCTAGAAAAAATGAAATTTTCCAATGAATATTAGCAAAAATAAGATGAAAGTTCAATAGACGGAAAAACTGAATGAATATCAAAAAGACTAAGATCTTTGACAAGTCCACAGCCTAGACCGTTTTCTTGTTAAATGCGCCAGGTAATTTCAGGCACGGTGACCGATATTTTGCATGTACTATAATAATTTTTATTGTTTCAATTGTACCAATTCATACTAAATAAATAAAAGATCACACAGTTGTGCAATATAGGCACCATCACCAGTTTTTGCACGGGACTAAAAAGCAAAGGGAAGTAATTGTAGTTAATTGAGTAGATATTTTTATTAAAATGTTTAATACTAAGTGTTGTAATAGTGAAATATAGTATTAGTGTAGTCAGGTTGGCAATCACTGTAATGCCACACTTGAGAGGATAGTGCGCATGCGCAAGGTGAAGACTATCCAATTTAGGTTATCTATCTGTTATCTATCCTCAGCTGCAGCCGGAATGGCTTGTTCGTGAGTAACGATGAATAAATCTATAATTCTGTAAAGTGCGTTGATTCATTTTCATCTTATCGAACATAACACTAAGGACAGAGATAATTAATTTAATCATTTTATCAGTGTAATGGATATACTTTCGTTTGGTTATTTGTCTTTTAATTATATGACTAGAGACTACAGGTGTCAAGTGGGTAACCTAAACTAACTTCTAGAATTGTGGCAATTAGTAGAAATTGTGGTTTGAAGCATTCAAATTTCCCTTTTTTCTTGCATGTTTTTCTGGCCCGGCAAGATCAGTTAGACTTCTTAGACACATTGGTGGAGGACGTGATGCAAGTTTTCACCTAAAATACTCCACTTCAATTACCTACTGAATGTCAAAAACTAACAAAATTAGAATGCTCACCTGAAAATACATGAAATTAAGCAGCTTGATCACTTCGGGAGCTAATACTTCAACAGTCTCTTCATAGATTTCCACCCGGTTCGGCTGCTCATTGGACTTCGGTTGCGAGATGGCTCCAAGGCAACATCGCCACGTGTACAGCATGACTGCATGTTCCAAGCCATCTTCCAACAGTTCATTCTGGAGCAATACAAATAGATATTTTACAGGATTGGTAGATTGACAATTTCAAATTCACAACATGGCACAGCTCTGAATTTTTAAAACAACCAAAACCAGTGTCGATTAAGCCTCAATGAAAAAACCTATTTATTTTTTTCAGTGCATATACTATAAAGGTTCAAAAGTGGGTACATTTACATTTAAAGATCGATCTGCAATGGATTCCTTGGATAGTTTGAAATCTTTAAAATTGAAATCAAGGTTCAAATGACCTTCCATCAAAGAAATGCATAAATATCTGATTTTATTCTAAAACGGACGCTTCTACCAATTTTGAAAATGTCCGCTTAAAGTTGAAAACACTTGCATGGAACTGACTTTTTGGATATGATGTTTCTGATCCTGCTGTAGCTCTGTAATGATTTAGGTAAGAGTGAAAGAGTCATATCAATTTTCTGAGCACCGATTTCAGCATGTTATCGCTAGTTCTTGATATTATTCATTCACTGCTAAAAATTTATGATTTCCTGTAATTTTTCTCAAAATTATCTTGAAAAAGCAAGATTTTTCTAAAAATTAAAAATTATCATTTATCATCCATTCAATTAGACAGATTACCTAATGGAGGTCAAGTGGCAGGAATGTGAAGCTTCCCAAACTGGCTTGGACAGTGGCTTCTTCAATGTACCACCCATTGACGCACCCAGTGATGGACCCATTCCGTTCTTCGAAGTTGGTATCGAAGTTAGCTTGATAAATGACAGAGCATGCCTGAGCTTTGATACACAGTTGTTCATCAGGTAACGTAAGCTCATCTAAGGTGTCGACGTTGGATAAGGCATCAGTTAATGTTATCAGCTTATCTGCCGCCATTTTGAGAAGTTGACTCCTTTGTGCAAAAAACCATCAAAGACATAAAAATGTGACTTGGCAAGTAAGCATTGTTGTACATGGAACTTAGAGAAATGAATGGTTTTGAAAACATACCCACTCTAATCAATTAAAAACGGAGAGTACACAGAAAACCGAAAATGAATATTCTTGAGTGTTGCACGATTCAATACCAGAGATGGTTGATGGTGAATAGTAGATAAAATTGGTCAAATAACTTTATGCCTTCAAGAGATAGGACGAACTCGTGTAAAACTATCAGAAGTAAACTGCTAACTTGAGGTAGAGGTGTTGCCAGCTAAGTTGGCACTTGAATACACATCGTTTGCGAGCAACTAAAATGTAGTAGTCCAACAGGAATCGAAGATTGACTAAGCTTACGATCGGGCTGCCGTCAATCCCCTATTGCTGGTAGACAATTACATCGCAATTGCTTGCAAGTGGAATGTAAACAAGTGCCAACTTAGCTGACGACACCTCTAGATAGCAGAGTAAACAGGTAATTGCGAAAAATTTTGACTTGAAATAATGGAAGTATAACATAGAAGTGGAAGAATGGGCCAGTCGTGCTGGTCTCAGAATGGTGTTATGATACTTCATTCTTGCAGATCAACTAAAAATGATAAGATCTGGCCAAACAGCAAATTTCCACGTTGAATATTAACCGAGGTATCTCGCCTTTAAAAACTGGATTCATGACATCATCAACCGCGGTAGGACGTATCATGTTATGCACTACCGAAGTGGATGACGTCATAAATTGAGTTTTTCAAGGTAGGTAATCTCGGTAACTCGAGGTAGAGAGTTGCTATTGGGACAGATCTTTTGGTTTAGAGCTGATCTACTAGAACCAAGCATCAAAACATGATCTGTTACCAGCGCAACTGGCCCATTGAATAAAGAAAGAGAAATGATCCGGTGAAAAGAGGCTAAGCTATCGATTCGCAGGGAAGAAATGGTCTAGGTGAGCTTTCAAACCAATGTCATTGGCCTCATTATCACTGCATGACTAGGTACATGCAGGCAAACTAACTTTTCCTTCAGAGATGAAACGACATGAAAGTGAAAGAAGGAGAAAGTTACAGGACATTTAGGGAATCAGGAAGTTACAATTCTTGAGGAGGAAATTAAGGCGGAAAATGCCTAGCAATACAGTCCGAACTAGGATGATCATTAGGTGTTAGGGGATTGGGAAACAAAATCTGCAAAACACTCTTCACTGTGCACAGCGGTTCCTTCTTTAAAGTTAGCTTCAGTCTCACACACAGGAATCGATCATTGAAACTCTTTATCAGCATGTCCAGACTTAGGGGATCAAGGTCTTCCAAGCGCAAAGCTCACACATTCCTCATCTTGTCCTAGCGTACCAACAGAGTTTCAAGAACCGGTCTGCATTTATTGATAGACTTGATAAATAAGATAAAAGGAGATAAAGAGATACATCTTGGCCCATAGTGGAGTCTCCAAGACAAGTCCAGCGGCAGACAAAAAGACATGTTCCCGCACAGGAGTCTGATGACAATTCTGTTGTAACATCGTAAATTATGGGAACTTCACTACGTCCTCATAGGGGAATTAGTAGTGTAAGCTTCCTCGATTTAGTTGAGAGGCGATTGAAAGGTATACCAGAAAAACGACTCATACACTCATACCTATAAAGATCCACTTAGAACTCGGTTTCTCCGCACTTCCTATGGCTTCTTCTTGATTTTCGTTGGCCCGTGGGGTTAAATCTTCGTCTGGAATTGATGAAATACTTCTAAATGAGTAAAGAAGATGACAGTTTTGACAGCTAATAATTACTTAAATAAATTAAAATTAATTGAGCGAAGTGGAATTCGGGCACGAGAAGCACCGGCCGGGGTTGGTAAGCACATAAACACATGCATGGCCGCCATGTTGAATCCCTCCCCCACTACAGCTGGACGAATATCGAATATCGTATCGAATGCGATTATTCGACTATCGCACTATCGATTCTTTACCATAGCTTCTAACGGGGACATGGCGATGTTCGATCATTCACGCAATGTGGCAGGAAATCCACCTTAGCCGTTGAGTCCGTTCTCGCACCAGCTCGGCTCTTAGTCCAGTAAACGAAGGGATTTATGCAGAACAAATTAGTAACAAGCTGAAATTTTTACCACTGATTATACCCACTGTGGGGCGTATTTTCACAAAAGTCCCCATTCCTAGCCCCCTAGGGATTTTTGCAAGCCCCCCTCAAAGTTGAAAAATCCCCCCTTCCAATTAAACTGCTGTAACTTGGCTCCTATTATAGTTAGACACCTCAATTTTTTTTTAAATTGTTCGTATTGATGCGTACGTTAAAATGAAACCATTGGTCATCAAAATTTATCAAGAGATCGTTAAGAAAATTTTAAAACAAATTCAAAATTTATGAAATTGAATCATTTTTTTTTTAAATAAATCGGAATAACTCCGTTATCGATTAAAACATGGAATTTATACTTATATGAAAATTTTTAGAGGACGCAATTTCCTATGAAATGGTGTATTGGAAGTTAAGGTAGGAGCAAAGGGTGAGGATGAGAGGGGCGTGGAAGTCCGGCAGAGTGTGGCTCAGCGCGGCGCAGCGCAGCGTAATAACACGCAGCACTCACATAGAACCGCCCCAACTCAATGCTTCATGGCGGCATGTTTCTCAAAAAGCCCACTCCTAGAATTTTTTTTTCTTCAATTCTAAGAAGGCAACATTCTAGTGAACTGCAAATAAATTTTATCTTTCAAAAGCATAAATTTTTCAATATGTTTGGCTATAAATAATTACATTATATTTGAATGAAGCTGTTTCCACTTGGACGCGTTTTCGCTTCCTTTCTTTTTTTATTTATTTTTTTGAGAGTGAAACATTTTGAAATTTAGTTAGTAGTAAACATGACTGAATAAGAGGAATAAATGAGTATAGAATTAGATTGAGGTGGAAATTTATGGATATCTTTAATTACCTAATAATTTTACTTATGAAAGAACACACAGCTCCACGAAAAATTAGAGCAAAAACAAATATTTAATACGAAAGAAAATGCCTACATGGGCATTTCAAAAATGTCACCTTTTAAACGATGTACTCTATTATTGATGGCATTCGTTAATTTTCAGGTTAAAATTGATTGAACAGCAAATAAAA